TTCTATATAGAATTGTTTACTGGTATTGTGGGCTCAGCAGTGAAAACCGTGTTCCCCCAGCTGTAATCTTCTCTGTTAAAAAGGCTCTGGGATCACGGAAAACACTGCGCGAGTACTGACTATTCTTCAAGCGTATCATCTTTTTGTCTTTCCTAATCGTGAACAGCTTAACATATATAAATTATTTTTCCGTTCATTTAAAGCGTAAAGTGCAGTTCGACCAACAAATTTAATTCTCGAAATAAAGTGAAAGTTTATTATAATTCTTTTTTTGAAAATATCTATCGTAATATTTTTATTCGTTTTTGATTATTTTCATTCTCGTGTCAAATATTTGAAATTTTGCGCAATATTTGAATTTTCTTAAATAAAATTCGAATGAATGAATCGTAAATCGATTGGGTGCACCTGCTTCGTGGAATAGTCTTACGTAGCAGCTGAATAACACGGTCCTCGATCGTCGTTGCAAAGCCACTTCGTAATTGCTGTGCAAGATCCCCGCCGTTAGAACGCCGTTCACCTCGAGCCTTCTGTACTTTCTAAAACCGCTTACTTTCGTAACTCAGCAAATACTATCGGCTTCGTACCGCGTACCGGATTGTCGTCAGTGATTATGGGTTTACATTTTTTTCTTTTCCTAATAAAGTGTTTCGTTGTCGTTTTCAATATAATAACACAAGTGCATACAACTGTGTTATTTTTTTTTTTTTTTTATATTGATATTGATATTTTCATTTTTGAAAACTTGTTAAATGTATGTTTTTTATGTTATCGTAATTATTAATACGACAGATATAATAATCGGTTTTTAAAAATAGATTGAATGTTTGTTTTATTATATATTAAAGAATATATGAATCATATATTTTTCATATATTTGTTCTGATGAAAGTAGTAAACGACGAAAAGATATAAAAATATCTATTATATATACTTAGTAAAAAAAAGACATTCATACGTGAGATCTTGTTCTAAGAATATTAATAATACGTAAACTAAACTGGTGTATCGTGGATCAGAGGAGAATCATTAGGGTAAATGGACTAATACATGCAATTGAGAAGTTTGGAAAGTAACCACTCGTTGGGAAGAATGGGCAGGTAGGAGACGATGATGGAATGAGATATACTGTGTGCGCACATACATACAAGGAGGAAAGGGAAGTGGGACTGGCTTGCCTTGTGCCACTTTATACGTACGTACCGCTATCGAGATGTAGACTCGATACTTTGTACCGGTCTTGTAATATTACCAGATTTGTTCTTTCTTTCTATGTCACCGACATTGGCTTCACTTGTTACCACACTGTTGTACAATTATAATGAGTTATATATCTTTACATCGTTCCGATCAAATTTCCTTTTCTATTTTTTATATAAAATTTAAATGAATTTGTTTTCATTCGATTAATATATAATTTTCCATTTTTTATAAAAAAAAAAATTCAAATAGCCTTTCTCTTATTACTACCATTTTGGTATTTGGACTTTAAGTATGATTCCGACATGACAGTAGAATAAGGTAATTCCATTGGTCGATTCTGAAGAATCGTAAAAGGAATTGGGAAGTGGCTTGGAAAGGAAAGAAATGTAAAGCCATAAATATTTTAAAATTTGTGAAAAGAGACAAGCGACGGGTGGTCAACAACCGCCATTTTATGGACGCCACCGCATTGCGGCCATCTTTTGTATAGTAACCGAAGCGTTTCTATTTCCATTTGGGGTTGCTCGATTGGCTCGGATTCCATTCACGCGCTGTCTAATTTTACTCGTTGGCCTCGAATCTACCACGCCATGGCTCATTGCGTACTATCTGAATCCAAGAAAAGACATTTTCAATTAATGTTTTCTAAATAATCGAAGTCTTTTAAATCTATTAGTATTTCCACACATTTTTATAATTTCAATTTCATTTAATCTATTCTCTGAATTTACATTGCGTAGCATTATGCTTAAAATATTAGATTCGTGTATGTATATAACAACATATAACAATTCTATGGAGATATTGATGTGTGTATGTATGAATGTGTAATTATATAATATAAAGAAATTTTTATAAATTATAGAATTTATAGTAAAATGAGAGATAAGATTTTTTGTGCATATAATTTAAGTCTATAAATGTCAAGTTTTTGCGAAAATAAATTTAAAAATAAATATATATTCCAAGACTGCTTGCTTATTTAAAGCCATGCAATTTTAGTTCATTTGCAAATACCATTTTTATTTTTTAAACAATCTAGGACGAAAGCGTGAAAAATTTATTATTAAAACGGACATTTACACCTTCGCCTCGGTAATCTTATTAGTCGTTTCGAAAAAGGATTAAACTCTTTTACACGAATAATCTAAAACAAGCGTAACGCTAGTAACGCTTAATTCGTTTTCTTCAGGTTAATCGATTTAATCCGCGAAATACGAGTTCTGTTCTCGCTACATCATTCCAATACTAAATGACGCGACGAAAATTTTTACCATTAACCATATGTTTTAAACTATTCTTAAACTTATTATTTTTAAAAAGCATTTATTTTGTCATTGCATATTATTAACAATAATAAATTCATAAGAAACTTACTACTTTTAATTAACAAACTTCATTATATATATTTTCTACTATCATTTTAAAAAAATTCTCAATGTCTACGCCAATGTTGTGGATGACATCATTGCGAAACGGTTGAACAGCGGGGGAACGAGTATCCGTAAAGATCGCGGATCATCACCAAGAGTGGGGTAGGGACAGGAGCGACAGTGGGAAGGAGAATCGAGGATGAAAAGGAAGAGATGTGTGGTAGCGATGGCCTTAAGATACATCAAGTTTCTTAAACTTATATAAACGTTATAGATTAATTACACGTTATATATTAATATCTCAAATAATATTAATGTAAAAGTGCAATTAGTAGAAGTCGTGTGTATATAAGAGACGAAATTATGTAACGTATTTCATCTTGTTAATATATTTCTTCACTTTTCTTTCATGTTACGCGGAAAAAATTGTCAATAGCTATATATCTGGATCTTCGATCTTCGCGTAAATTGTAAATTCAAAATTTTAAGAGGCAGAAAGAATTGAATGGCTATCGCTAGACAACGCAAAAGTCCAAGGCGGTTGAAGAATAAGTTGGAGAGACAAAGAGCGGAAGAATAGAGATGAAGAAAGAAGAAGTGAGGTTCTCCACGTAAAGAACTTATGGGGAGGGGAGAGGAGAATGAAATGATGCGATATAAGTATGAGAATCCAGTGGTGGGGTAGACACCAGGCAACCAGGCCTTGAACAAGCGAAAGAGAACAAAAACCTTCGGATCCTCGACTGTGCTATACACGCTATATTTTACATTTCATAAAGTTGTTCAAAAATGAACTATTACTTCCTCTTCGTATTGTCAAATCATCCAATTTCCAGTTTATTTTTAAAAATATATAATCGATATTTTTATTAAGTCGTAAATTTCATTCGTCGCTTAATTGCTTACAATTTGAATAGCTTAGATGCACATATTTATAATGATTGATTTAACCAAAGCTTGCTTTGAAAAAGTATCTTTTCCAAAAATTGTTATAATCAAAAAACTCTATAAAACTTGCACATGAAATTGAAAAATAAAATCTTTTTATAGACGTGCGATTAATAAACAAAAAAGTGTGATGCATTTATAAGATAAAATGGTAATCAAATGCATCAGCATTTTTTCTATTTAATTTTTTTTTTTCCTACCATCTATTTCTGACTTTTGCACTTCGATAACGTTTTTTCATCGGAAGAACGTTACGTTACGAACTCTCGCGTTCCTATACGAGACATTTCGATATTTACACGTTTATTCGTCATATGTATAGCCGAGGATGTAATGTGTGCTCACCCGTTATCTCTATCAGAGAAGACAGAAGGAAGAATCCTTCTTGCAAGTATTCAGAAGTGAATAATATCACGCGGAAAATTTTTTTCAAACGTTTGAGTTTTCGATCCTTCTTTGTTTTTCGCTAACTCTATGCCATTCTCTATGCTCGTAGTTATTGACAAAGATGAAAGGAAATTCTAAAGTTTACATGTGTATACAACTTGCATACGTGCTCACAATCGATTGCTAAGCTTTGAATTTATGAAAAATAAATAGTATCCACATGTATCGTGTTTTTGCAATGTGTTAAATCTACATTGCAGAAACTTTTCGTGAAGAAGTACGTTAGTGCGATATCGAGTAGCATGGTAAATGTAGGTGAAAGAGCAGAAAGAATATGCTTATCAACATCGGAAATTCGATAACAGACCGCAAACGAGTATCAAATGTTTGATATTTTTAAGTGTTGAACATTTGAAGGATATTTTAAAATAATGTTATATATTATATGTAGATAAGTAAAGATGTGTAATTTTCAAGTTGAATAAAGTTACTAGAAATGACTAAAAAAGCAAGCTTTTTTACTTGTTGCAGAGAAGAAAAAAAAAACTTTTGATAATTTTAGAAAGAGATACATTTTTCATGAATTTTGTTAGAATAAAAAGATCTATCGCTACGTCAATAGCTATTAAACTCTGCAATATTTTATGCAAACGATTTCATTTATCTTTGTGACTATTGATTACAAATTTACGATTATTCGTATCGGCGTATAATTCTCTCCGGTCAATTAAATATTTTATATATCACAATTTTTACGATTTATGACCTGTTTCTTAAGATTCGTAAAAAATAAAATCGTTCTCGTCGCGTTCTAAGAGATTTCATCTTTGTTTATTGTCAAACTATGTTGCTATTCGATGCAATAGTAGATAGTTGTACGAATTTTTAAATTAAAATTACTTTTCGAATCGATTGTGCGAATTTAAAGTTTCACAAACAATAAATAAGCATATATTTAAAGAATATATTCATTAGAAAATATAAAAAGTATTCTCAAAAAGTATTTAGTCAAAAGTTGTTTTTTCACAAAGAAAACAAGCTGAAAGAAATGAAGAAAAAAAAAAAGATGAAACGCTTCTTATTTAATTATCCGTGACACGGATAAATTTCTTATAATTCACAAAAAAACTGTGAAAATACGCGAATACGTAAAAAAAAGTATTTACAATAATAAAGTGCAAAGTACGCGCTTTAACGACGCATCGAAATAGTCTTTACGGAGGTTAAAAACCAGCATCGCTTTCCACTTAATTATCTCGATCGATAAAACAACCTCTTGCATGTAATGAAGCTGCATTACACGGAATAAAATTTGATGCGTATATAACGTTATAATATTAAAAAGAAACACAATTAATAAGAAAGTTAATCGAGTCATTTAAATTATAAAATTTAAATTGTTTATAAATAATCTTCGTGATCTTCAAAATTTGTATATATATTTTTTTCTGTAATTCGGCTTGTCCGAAATCGACTCTCCAAAGACACGTATGTACACGCAAAAACGTTTCGAGATACGAAAGACGAATGGCCGAAACGGTGTGAAACGAAGGAACGAAGGAGGAGAAGGAAAACGAAAGCGAAGATTTCCGGTGGTGGGAAGAAAGGGAGAAGAGAGCAAAGAAAAGGAAGTGTTGCGAGGCGTGGGAGAGGGCGTCTCCTTTGGCAGAGCGAGGCCATACGCAGCAGAGAGAGAGAGAGAGAGAGAGAGGATTTCACAAACCGGGCTACGCTTCCATCCTTCACCGAAAACCCACCCCAACTTTCACCCTCGCAGCACGCCCGGACGACTCGATGCTCAAAGATGGCCGCCTAGCTGGCTAGGAGGTCACCGGGTGCCTCGCTAGACCACGCCCTACACTCGCCAAACTCGACAGCTTTCCACGGGGCCGATTTAGCTTCCACAGCCAGTACCAAGGGCGCCTCAAGGACGAACACCACTCTCCTCCTTCAAGAAGAGCTTGAGGTCCCGGCACGCTGCGATCGCTTCTTCCCGGAAATTACGCAATCACGCCACTTGTCATGCCTCATTTTGGTTTTTCTCAATCATTATTCCTTTCCTCGTTACACGCGCGTGCTCGTGTGTGACGTATATTTGATAGCTTATCGCGGAAATGTCTGCCTTTTCTTTAGTGTTTTTAAAGATTCGATGATGTATGGATTCGAGGGTATGATGTACGATAAGATGTAATGTTTTAACAAATTTATCTACAAGTAGAGTTGGAAATGAAATATGGATGTGCAATATTTGTGCAGTAAGACATTATACATTATTACACTTCTCTTGTTTTGACCAAAGGTTTTGATCAAAATTTTGGAAAATTTATAAAATAATTTCAATTTTTTTCTTTTATTCATTCGATACGTGCTCGAGCTATGAAATCTTTTTTTTTTTGAATGAAACGAGTAATTTCATACCGATAAATTTCTTTAAATGTTTAAGCCTCTAAATCTCTAATCGTTGTCAACAGATTAAATCAGAGATAAAAATAAGGACATAATTTCATGTCTCCAGCAATTATGTAATACGCGATATACACGTTTTCCAAACTGTGATTTAATAACGAATCAATACTAAATGAATAAATACATATTGTATTACAGCTTAGTACTATTTATCTTAATCTTGTTTCTCGTGTAACTGTTAAATTACTCGAGTAACTATGAAAGATATTTATTATCGGGGTCAGCTGCTTGCGCCCCTTTTCACGGGAGCTTACAACAAACGGAAGTAGAATGACCAATGAACGCGTGAGTTGTGCATGATGAACAATTATGGAATTCAAAGACAAACGATCAAAAAAGAATACAAAGAAGCAAGCTGAGTCACTGCGGTGGTATTGTGAACCACCTCTCCTCCTCTCGCCGAGCTAAATAGGTTTTTGGACCGCAAGCTTTTTCGCGACAAAATCGATTGACCCGTTTTACTGGCCCAATTACTGGCCAACGTCCCACCAACGCCAAAGTACGTATAAATTTGCTATCTCGATACGTTTCTACATAACATACAAAGTGGATACATAGATAATGGCAAATGTATAAAGTTTTTTATTCTGGCAATCGAATATTGCTGAAACAAATAATATTTATTCTTGTGAAATTTGAAACAAGATGTGAAAATTATATTATATAACGTTATTTCTAGTAGATCTAAGAGATTCTCTTTCTTCATATTTCTTTCGTGATAAATGTTCATGAGAAATTTGATTTTGTGATTGTACAGTGGAATAATTTACTCACTATCGCCGTTAAAAATTTCCCATTGTACGACAAACGGTCCTTTATCTACCATCACGATATATTAGTTGCTTCGCAATGTTCTATAGTATACTCTTCGAGCAGAGCGATAAATAATACGTATCTACAGGTTCATTCATTCGGCTGGAACGAACCGGTGCATTTTCCTAATAAACGGCGAAATAGGTTATGTTACTGTTTCGAATAGGCAACTGGTTATGAACAGTTAATTGCAAGTGCATTACTATATATGGCACATCTATATAAAGTATACTTACGCGTTTTTACCTGCGTAAATGGTAAATGCTTTTATACATTATTCATATCAATAAATATTTACAATATATATCTATGTATAATTATATGTACATATAAATCTATAAGATTAAATTTTATATTATTCGTTTTTTTATCTATTTTAATTTCTCTCTCTCTCTCTCTCTCTCTCTCGTCATTTATAATTTGCTTTGCTAATTTTTTAAGAATAAAGAGAATATTTATCCATATTATTATTTTGATACAAGATATTTACATACAATATTTTTACTATGATAACACATTATTTATTTTTCAAACCTTTTCTCAATCTAAACTATTCTTAATAGCATCTCAATTATTAAGAATGGTATAGATTACATCTTCACTTAGTCTTTCAATCAGATATCAGTCCCTGATTTCCTTCGTTGGGATTGCACGTCATTCTTGAAAATCAAGACGTTATGTAATATGTGCTATGAGTAATGGCACAATTAGATAGATTTGTCAAGAACCGAGAAAGAAAAAAAGATGAATGGTGTTAAATTAACAAATGCCGTGATCTATGTTCATCGAAAATAGATTTTGATTATCATTTAAAATTTTTTAATTCTTTAAAATCGGAATAAAATGTTTCTAGTACTCTTTTACCATAATTCTTATTTTATATATTTGAAAAATAATCATTTGACTAATTTATTTCACCAGAAAAAAAGTGTTAAAGAAATATAAAGTTGGTAAAAAATATAAGAGTTCAATTTTTATATTAATTTTCATTTTTGATATTTATGGTAGAAAATACGTGGAAATTTCTATCAAGAAAAATTATATACGTCATTCATCAATGAGTGACTTTAGAATCATAACAATGTTGCATAAATTTAAAAATAAAATAGTCGCTATGATGAAAACGTCATTGTTATTTTAAAATTAAATATAGTATTCCTAACATTAGTATTGGCATCGCAAAATTCTAAAAAAAATATACAAGTTTCATTAGGATTCTAAGAATATTTAATTCATGACAATTTTAATTCTCGGAATTCACTTTTGTTAATAAGATATTTTTTTCGTTCGAATTGGAAAGCAAATTTTTTACGTAAGAATATTACACATTTCGTTCTTCCACTATCTCTTTACAATATATAAATTATTCAATAAACAACCAATGTATTTCATGAATATTTGTCGATAAAAAAGAGTAAAAAAAATATATATATATATTCGCATTCCATTTCGCATTAACTAATTCGTGAAACAAATCAACAGGAGAAAATGAAAGCAAATGCCTAAACTGTGCGATTGACAATGCATAACCTTCAATTCGGCAATAGGAGGTGGAGCAGGAAACGAGAAAAAGATAGCAAAGAAGAGGCACACTGGCGTCGGGGGAGGAGCGGAGAGATATTTCCGTTGTTGCAGACTCTATCCGTTTGGCAGGTTTATCAGAGAGCATGCGCACGCGCGCTCACGTGTGCCCACCTACCTACTTATCTACCTGCATCCTAGTTTGCCTGCGCGCCACCAAGCCTCCTCTCTAGTTGTTCTCTGCTTGCCCGTTTCTTCTGGCCTGCCTGGCTGCCTGCCTGTTCAGCCTACCGGTTTGCCTTGATCCCTTGAATAGCTAGGAGGTGGGCTGGTAGGTAGGTACGGCTTTCTTACGTAAGCGCTCCACTAGAGAACGAATTATCGTGGCAGGGTCGAGCAGATGAATCGACACACAGAAAGAGATTTCTAGAGATTCATCGAACGAATTTCCCTTGACCAAAAGCTGTTACGGAAGAATACAATTCTCGTTATCATTTATACAATTTAATTTTGAAAAGCTTCTTTGCTTTTGGAAAAAATCTCAAATTATTGAATTAATATACAAACTGATAACACCACTGTCGATAATAAAATATAACATTGCTATGTTATGTATTGATTAATGGCGATATCGACGAAACAAAGCGCAATTATTTATCGTATATTGTCAAGGCCGCGAACTTTCTTGTTTCATTCTTTCTTGACTAGATTCGTCTCGATTTATGAAGATAACATAACAATTTGAAAAAATATTGGGAAAAACAGAATATTCGAATATTATAAATAAAATATATACTTCAATGGAGCATTTCTTGGATACATGGCCCTCAAACGGGCCAAGAACACCACTGTGAATCGTACTCAGCTGAAGCACGGCGCTTGTGCGATGACACAGATATCACGCCCTCTCTCTAACTCTCATCGTGGTGCTCCTTGCTTTCATAGCCATTGCAAACTGGGCCAACGCATCTATGAAACGGACGCGCAAATTTACTAGATCAACTTTAGCGTTCATCTCCGCAGAGCTGAATATTAGGGTCGCGTTCCTCGCCACTCGCTAGCTGCAGCATTTTCTCCTCTTTGTACAATCTATTTTATAACGTGAAAATTTTCATACTTTTTTTTACTATTATTATTATTATTATTATATTAACTTTAATAATTGAAGAGGCCGTAATATAATAAGTAAACGTTCATCTGAAATTCGAATAAAGAAAAGAGGAAACAAATGCGATAATCCAATAAATATTAATATAAATATTAGATATCAATAATAAAAGCATCAATATGCAAATCCATTTTTTCAACAATGAAAATTTGAAAGAAACGAAAGATTTTCAAGACAGGCAGATAGTTGGCGTGCTACGACGATGCGGCCGTATTTTTCCACAACGGTAGAGTCGTCGTGTCAGGAGGCACAATTGCGGAGGTTAGAATCACGCGTGCGCGGTCGTTCGCGTTCTCTCGTGTATCCATAATTGCGCTGCTTCCTGCGCGTGAATACCGTTGTCCTACATTTCGGTAAGTACGCCTACCGTCGCGTTATTTTACGAAGTAGGTCGAACGGCTCGGTCGTCACACTGCATAAGTTTAATCGTTGCGAATCTGCTGACCTAGGGAAGAGTTAAATAAAAAAGGTTAGATGTCAAAAATATATAGTATGTTTAACAAAAATCTTACATAATTTTTATCTCGTATACAATTTTTCCGTATTTGATAGACTAAACATATTATATCAAATCTTTTATACTTATAATCTTATAGAGAATTATTATTTTTATATTATTATATTCGAATATTTCTTCATAAGAAGAAAAAGAAAGTAGATGTAACAAACTCTCCCATCTTTCTTTACTTTTCTATTCTATTCTTGGAGAATCGAAATAGCAAATTTAAAAGAAATTGTAAATATTTTTCTTTTTTATTTTTTTAGGCAATATCCATTTTGCCTCGCATTCAGATATCCTATTTTGTACACATAATTAGAAAGATTAAAATAAATACTTAAGATACTTAAGATACTGAAAAATCAAAATATGGATAAACTAAAGAATGCAATGCTGTAATTAATTTCTTACAAATAAAACTTGTATCAGTTTAAAATCACACGTATAATATTAATCTTTTTCCAAAGTAAATTTTTTAAACTTGCTCAAATGAAAACTCTGTGTTCGGATCTGATCATAAATTGCTCTAAAATACCTGAATGCATAAATAAGTTAGTGCGCACATTGCACTCCTTATCTTATAAAAACAGTAATATTCCATTTTACTCATCATTTTATTCAACTTTCTATTACTCATTTCTTTTATTTTCATCATTTACTATTTTATTATGCTCTTATTGCCGTTCTTTGTTAATCGTAAATAGGATTAATCATTAAGAAAGTTTTATAATTCACAGTGATTGATATTCTGTTATGGAATATAGAATAATAAATAGATAGATGATAGATAAAAAATATTACGTTAAAATAACATAATATAAAAAAATATCATAATGAGATTAGCTTAAGTATTGTTCAAATATTAATATTTGCACTATAGTAAAGTTGAAATATATCGATATCTATAAGAAATTGTAACAACAAATAATACTGATACGTCAAAAATGTGGTAGGTGATAAACGCGTTATAAATACATTATGAGAATAAAAAATCTTCCTTATTATTACTATGATTTAATATGTATATATATTGATATATATAATGATGCCTCATAAGTGCTAAAAACATTTGTTTTTTTCTTTTGTTTTTCACATTGTTCTATCATAATATATCACTACGAACAATAGTCTTCGAACTTGCAAAAGAATTGTAAAAAAAACGTACATGCATCAATTTCTATATCTTTTCACGTGCAATTACAGTTAAAAGTTGTATTATAATATATCATAACTCACAAGTTTCACGTATTGAACACTACACAAAGTAACTAACCTAACCTAACTTACACATAATTTCACAAAGCAAAAAGATACAGTGTTATGTTATCGATCGCGGAAAAATTCACGGAAATTCACAGAAGGAGTTATAAAATCCTTCCTCAATATCGAATTGGTTCGACGGTAAAATAAATATTACTCACAAAACACGAATCATAGAGAAATCATGTGTTCTCCGAGAAAATATATATCGATATATCGATTCAGGCGTAAAGTGCGTTCGAAACAAATTGACTGCTACACGGAAGCGCAATATACCATACGGACCCTTCTAGAGGAAGCGGACTTTCGCCCTAGTGGATTTGCACGATGGATCATCGTTAATTTTAGAGGGCAGCAGCGGCCTTCGAGTAACAGCATTGCTCTCAGTCTCTTTTTTTTAATGAGTACCGATGAGAATGAATTACTCTCGCTGCCTATTTCCCATAATTATTTTACTTTTCGGTTTTCCGTTTTCCGTTCGACAAATTTTCGAGCTGATATTAATGCTCGGCACGTTAATCCTGCCATTACTGTAACAATTCCATTAAAAATACTTATTTCTTAAATATTTGACTCTAGCCAATTCTTAAATACCGTTCGCATTTCATCACAAGGAAGGTTTGATTTTCTGTTTTGTCTGTGATAGAAATCTTTGCAACAAGATTTTTTTCAAACTGCAATTATTCTCAGCTAAGATAGACATCATAGTGCTGGTTTTGTACACATATTAATTATTCACTTACATTTATTCCCTTTTTTATACACATTATAATTTGACATTTGTATGTTAGAATTTTTAAAGATAATTATCTTTTTCCGTTTCAAATATTTTTAGATTTCGACTGAATTTATATAACGTATTCAATATTGTTATTTATCTATTTTTTGAAATAGAAATGAATTTTTAATTTTTATATGTAATAAATACTACGTTTTCAATTATCAAAATTTTTATTTATTGCCTCTAAACTAATTGTTACCATTTTTAAACTTGTTTTTTATTCAAAAATATTAATTTTTATACAATAATGCATATTATATTATGTATAAATTTAATTTTTGAGAATGGAAGTTAGAACAAAGCAACAGAAAAGAAAGTTACAAAAACTTATATTTTTAGAGCAGATAATATTTTAATAAAGATAGAAAGAAGAAGAGAAACAAGTAAAATTTAAGGAAAAAACAATAAGATTCATAAAAAATTTTTTTGTTATTAATCTTGAATTAATTTCTTAATTGGATGTGATTTGTATTTATGCATTCGCATATGTATAAGTATTATACGTACTTTCCGGCCTATTCTTACGTAATCGCCAGATAAACTTAACGACATATATAGATACGTTATGTAGGTATTTTCTCTTTTCAATGACACTGAATATTCGTTTTTTCCTTGTATTGATAGAATTTTCAAAATTATTTTATGAGAAATAATAATTCGACAAAAATATCATTATTATAATTATAAATTATTTTGTGTATTATTAAATTCATTATGTGTGTAATTATAAACGTTAAATTTGATTTTCTTAGATTTTCAATTTATTTTCGAATTACACGTTAGATTAAAATTAATTTAAGATTGCTATCTTAATTTGATAACAGCAAAGATAAATATTTATTATACCATAATAAAAAACGCGTAAAATTTATAATCGATGATTTTAATCTATCAATCGATTTTTATTATTAAAATTTTTTACTAACTTTTATTTCCAATGATGAGAAAAATTAATTTCTTGTGATTGTAATGTCTTTTTTCGATATACACGTAAAATATGAAGATAAAAAGGAAACAAAGTTGCAAAATCATAGAAAGTCACAGATAAATTTTGTTAAAAAGATAATGATAACATCGAAAGAAAAATAATATGAAAGCTTAACGGTACGGCTATGATGCAGCTGTATTTATTATGAATATAAAAGCATATTGGAACTACGAGTGTACGTTTACGATTACGATTTACCGATTTGTGGTCAAATTAATATAACAATTTCAAAAGATGCAATGTAACTATATTTATATTTGAATTCGCATGTTATATATAAAGACGATATATTCATCGTGGAAATTATATGTATTACTCTTTTATATAATTAATTTATCATGTTGGTTTAATAGTTCAAGTTCATTGAATGTTTCAAATATCTCAGGATAATGTTCTTCGTTAAATAAGAAATTCAAACATGCTAAAATATATAGTTTACATGCTTTTCAATACATAATTTTTATCGATAAATGTACTATCTTTTATACTTTAAATTTATTTTTAATTATAAATTCAAGCATTGATTTTGTATATATTTAAATTTAATATTTTGTATATTTAATCAAATTATTTAATCATTTTGTTAATCATTGAAATTTAATCAAATCTCATTCAATTATTTATTATTTAAGTTTGTATTTCGCGTTATAAATATATGTAAATGATAGATGAAGAGCCATCGGTCTCGTCGCAATATGTATGTAGCTTATAGAGAGTAGGCTATAGACGTCGTTATGGACAGTGGCTCATCGAGCATATAGAAATATTCACATGTGACATGTATTTCTTTGTTAGTCTCAACGACACCGATTTTCAAATATAAAAAACGACTGTTACTAACTATTGTTAACGCATATTGCGCGGGCATCTTATAGATAATTATATTTTCTACCGTTATTCAAAATTAGCATATAAGACAAAGATTCGAGGTTTTCTTTTGACCGCAGATATAAGTAGTTTTGAGAATTTGATCGACATGTTGAAAGAAAGGTCGAAAGAATGTGTAGTTCAGTGAGTACCACTGTTATAGAGCGATCATGCGCGCTCTTCCAGCTCTCCGTCGGTCTACCCCCGCGACCTGCGTCGCCTACCTAGCCTTCTGTTAGTTGCGTAACGCTGCAGAGTCATGCGATAGGATAGCACTGCCGTGGCGCGACCAACGAATACAGACGAATATGAACGAGAAAGAACGAACGGAGGAAACGAAGTGAGACAAACGATACGCAAACCAACCGATAGATTGAAAGAAAGAGAAAGAGAACGATAATCGAACGTGAAGTTAGGGGAAAGGAGATGATTCGTCTTTGGAGGGGTCGAAGAGAGTGTAGAGAAGAGGCGGTTCAGCCTTGAAACACGCTGCGAGCGGCTTCGTCGCGAGTTCCGTACACGAACGTCGACTCGCGGATCGTGTCGAATCGTTTTTTCCGATTTTTTTCCACATATCGACAGCAATGTTGTTCGCGCCACAAATATACCGTTACCATTGTCCATTCTATCAGAATTTTCGTGTTTTACCGATCGATTCGAAGTTACATTTGATTTTACTCACGCTTTATCTTCCTTTAGGTATCGTTAAATACTTTCATGGGAACGTGAATTGATTTTTAACTTGTATCTATTGATCGGATAAATAGTAATTCTATATTGGTTTTCATTTTGATATGAAAAGCATTTAAATTAGAGATAGAAAGTCAAACACGATTGAAAAAAATAGATTGATTTTTTAATTTTTGATTAATGTAATTACGTATTTGAAGTAACATAATTTACTGTTCTAGAGAATTTTATTTTATGTGGAGTAGTATTAGGGATTAATAGTTAGTTAATAGTTAATTTATCGAGGAAACCATGTTTTGGTTCGATGCTATATCATCGATGATAGTAAAAGTATTGCTTCGAAATCTTTTATAAAGACCTTTGCTACCTTTTCTGATTCCTTTTCTGATTCCTACAAGCAAATTCTAACAAAAGATAGATTGCAATCGTGATTCTAAGTATGTTTTCCTTCTGTAAAGTATCGAATGCGAAATTCCAAGAAGTACCGTGATAGATAAAAATAGATAAAAGCGACGGCATCGTTGGCTTGCTGGCTTTCTGGGAACGGTTTCGTCAATCAGGGTCACGAGTGCACCGGTGCGCCTCGTTATGTCTAAAAGCAGTTTCATGTAACTCCGAGGAAACGAAGCTCGTTGAACGAGTTTAACGAACATTATCATGCTTGGCTTAAAAATTTTAAGATGACAGTCGTTTAATAGAAACATGATGAATCATCAGATTGATTGCATAAATCACATAAATTACATTTTTTACTCTGTAAAAGCTAAAAAACTAAATTTATACCTACATAGTTGTTTTGCAATCGGTAGATATTTAACTTAACCTTCAGACGGCTAACCAATTGAGCAGCTAATCATGAGTCATTTATAATTTATCCTTACATACCTCAGAAATTATTTTTTACCTAAAATTATATATTATTTATATCGTTAAACGACATTACATCATAAAAATAATTAAAATAAAATTATTTGAAAAAATTATATTGCATTGTACTTATAAAAATAGAGATAAGGATGGTCAACTAACTAGCAATATGTTTCAAAAAATATATATATATTTATAAAAAATAACAAAATGACTCAAAATAAACTCTTTAAGTCATTAATTTTAATTTTCAAGGAACATTATTATATTTAATTTTTTTTATTTTACTTTAATTCATTAAATAAGAATTAAACATATCTAAATAGAATTCGTTTGCAAAAATCTCATATAATTTTCTCTCTAATATTTCGTGTTGATCGAACGAGCCTGATTATTTTATTATTTATTAAGTGAGGTGCAAAAAAAAATGGATCAATTGTGTGAAAAGATAGTGCGAATTTAAAAGAAAAAAAAAAAGCGTGTAAAGTACGATATACGTGCAGGATGCTTTTCATAAATTTGCGAAATCATACAATTTTTGTTGCGCGAAAATAAAAAGAGCGTTTTGTTTTTTGCGGTGATAATTTTTCTCGTTGGATACTTTTCACTTCTTAATCGCGAGAACCGAGTATCGAGTTCGGGCAGAATATGTTTTGCTATTAATATAATACGTGTTGTATTTTTCAAGTATCCATTGTTGAAAGATGTTTAATAATCGACGATCTTTTGTATAGAATAAATAGTTTTTGTTTAAGAAAGAAAAAATAACAGAAGGCAGGATATTCGTGGAACAAGATGGCAGTAAAGAAAGTTAGGTCGAAGAAGTCTGAAAAAGTGGAGCACAGGGAAATTGAAGAAAATGCAGCCAGAGGGAGAAATTGCGAGAAAAAAATGTAGGGAAGAGTGGATAGAACAACGACAAAGTGGAATGAAATCGAGCAGGAGGAAGGCGGAAGTTCGAGGATGGAACAGTGTACGGAAAGAAAGCAAAAAGAAGAAACTGTGGGCGAAGAGAAAAAGGCAGGAAACGAAGGGAAATGGAAAGAAACGCGTAACATCGAGAAGGGTAGCTGGTTTCGACTTTGTAGTAGGCCTCGATCGATGCTGTTACCATGGCTACAGGGGCAGTACCGCGGTGCTCTACTACTGATTATTTATGTCAAGGATCCCTCCCTACTTCGAAGCTTGGAACGCAAACTCAAACGCGAACCACCCCAACGTAAGTGGCGATAGCATTCGAGACTCTCTTTCGGAAGATTTCGAACAATTTTCTCATAATTAAATTTACATTTTGTAAACGTTTGTAAATTGTACATTTTAAATACCTGATTTTACTTTATGAATTAATCTTATTCATAATTTTGTATTACCGAAATTTTTCATAAACGGATGAACGAAAAGTTATCAAGTTTCAAATTGTAAACTGAAAATGATTTTATCGAATATATGTAATATCGATTATTCTAATAGATCGATTAGATCAAATGCGATTTCTATGCTATTTACACATTAGTAGCAATAAAAGCATGAAAAATTTATAGATAAATAGATAAAACATCTCTTGATATTTATATCTTCATAAAGAAGAATGAAATTTCTTTGAGCAAATAAATGATTATGAAAAACCAATAAAAGTTAATGGCTTAATTTATTATTTTTATGGAATTTTCTTTTTATAGCAAAAAAAAAAACTCAAATATAACTAAAACGTGCATGTTTCATATGATCAGTACCTAAGATCAGTATTTACCATTCGAATAGTATTTTTTTATACTTTTCTTAGTTTCAGCAGTCTTTAGAATCAGTTGAATTAATTCTTAATATTTTTAAATATAAAAATAATAAATTTATCAATAATGTAGACTAATATAAGAAAATACATTATTACTATTACACAAGATAGGTTATGTTCATTCAGTAATAAGAATATCAATACTAAAAAAAATAATAAAATAATATAAAATCCTTATTAAAATCAAGAAAATAATATGATCGATTAGAAGAATATGAGACAATAATAAAATTTCCAATAAATCATTTTCAATATTAGAATTTAAAACGAGGATTAGTTAGCATTTAAATAATGGCTATTGCTAGTGACACATGACGACTAAAGATGGAGTTACGATGCTCTTTTCAAAGTAAGCAGGATGGAGGAGAATACGCAATGGGAAGTATTCCTGTTGAGAAAGATGCTTTCGACCCAGTTTCACTCTCTTATGATAGTAGTGTTGTCATAAACAATCGATATTGCGTCTAAGAATTACGGTATCGTGCTGTATTAGTACGAAAGCTATCATTCTAATTTGCGCAGAAACGATAATTAAATGTGAATAAAATGACGTCATCTTTCTATTCTAACTTTTTTTATATCTTTTTTAACACTTTTTATTCTATTCATTTTATAATTGCTACTATAATCTAATTTTTTTTAATAACATATAAATATTAGTAGTTTGGAAACAATTTATCTCTAAAATATTTGTCAAGATGATATACTTTTTATTAAACTTTTTCATTACAATCATTGAACTATTGTTAATATAGCAGACATTTTTATTATTTTATATATTGTTTCACAGGAGAAATTGCAAATAATTCATCATGATATTTGACAAATATATAATCAAAAGCAATAATGTAAAAAATTTGTTGTTAGCTTTTTAAACATATAATATATTTTAAAATAAAAATAACTATTTTTTTACATTATGCTTAAGATCGAAATGCACCACCATTCGAAAGTAACTTACATTTATCATGTAGTATTTATAGTCAGTGATCATTAACATTCATCTAAACGAAAAGTAATCATACTTTCATGAATTGTATAAATGTTAAAGTAATGAGTTTCAACATACATGAAATAAATCAGATATTTTTTATGAAAGCTTCAGATAATTAAAAGAAACAAATGTTTTTTATGAATATATAATCATAACTTTCACTTGAATAAATCATTATTTAAAATAATATGTAAATATACATAAGTATAATTATAAAATGTCAACATTTTCATTAATTAAATTGTCTCAATTCAAAATTTGAGAATGAAATATTAAATAAATTAAGTACTATTATTTTGCTTTGGTAAATTTATTTCAAATTTTTTTAAATTATTAAATTAATGTAAATCTACAAATTATATAATTGTGTTATTTATAAAAATCAAAAAGTAAATTTTACATTTTATTTTACTATTAATAATAATTCTTATTTTTGTTTTTCAAAATGAAAATTAAAAAATTTGAATCTTGAAAGACTATTTTTATATCTGTATCTTCGATTTAAATTGTGCGTAAGAGGGACAATTAGTTATTATCGAGAATGTGCAATGTTGATAATACACACACAGTGGGCGGATGAAGTCACACATTCAATAAATTTAACACAATATATGCTGCTCTTTTTACTTGTCTAAATTTTTCGATTTTTAAACAAAACTTATTGTAAATTAAAAATGCATTTTTTTTTCATAGTAATTGCTTAGAATAAAAATATTGAATGAAAATAAGAAATTTAAGCAAGTTGAAATATTACCTGTATTTTTTTATGTGAAATTAATAAGTATTAAAAGACTGAATAAAAATTTCACAACAAGAAATCAATCTTACGGATATAGCATATTCATCATCAGAACATTCTTACAACACAACATTCACATTCTTTTAAATTATATTGTTAATCTCTTCTTTTTTATTCTATAGACGTACATTAAAGTTTACTACAGTCAACGTCTTTCGCTACCTCACACATTTCTTCAATCTTAATTTACGCGCTATCAAATTAAAGCAATAACTAACGATTATTTTTTTAATATTTACATATCTATCTCATTAATTAATTGTATATAATACAACTTGCACTCTTTACTGTTAGCTTCTAATAATAACATCTTGGTGCGAATAATCTACTGCCAAACTTTTTTCCTGTTTTTTATCCTTCTTTCATGAGTCAAATATGACATTCGAATTCAAAAGTATATTCGAAGTAAACAATGAATATTATTACATCTTTTTAAAAAAAATGACCAGAAAAGTATTTTCGTACCTATTCAACATTGTCAATGAATCACACGTCACGAACATTCCAGTGAAAATAGTAGCATCATGCTGCACATTTCACATTGATAATACAAATCTTCATCAATATACATTTGTGTATTTCATATAATAAATT